ATATAACAGTGTGGTTACATTTTTATAAGGAGTTTTATTAAACAAAAGTGTTGTATAAAAGTAACATTTAAAGCTTGTTTGTCAATTCAAAATAGTTTTGAAAACAGATGATTGATTTATAAGGCATGATAAATCACATGTGATTTGAACTACAAGTAGTGAATCACATGTGATTAATTTGTAATATGAAAAATTGTCTTGTATAACTTTTCATAAACATGTATATTCAACTTGTATCTCCCCCCTAAAACATATAAAACATTTGAAAGGTTCATTAAAGGGGTATGAACTCACCTGAATTCGCGTAAATCGGGTGAATCGGGTAAAAGTGTCGGTTGAGCGTTTTGTTCCAACTAATGACTTGTACACCTTTAGGACCCTAATGTCATATGAAAATATGTGTTTTACAATAAATTAAACATTTTATGCTTTCCGTTTAAGTATTGAGGCATTCTAGCATCAATTCGGGGTTTTAGGGCCTAGAAGGGGTTCCCGGGAGTGGTTTAAGGCTAAGGGGGATTTACGGGAGGGTCCATGAGCTCACTCCCTTGGAGCTTACGGCCCAAAGGCCACTCCTTGGGAGTTTACAGCCGTAAGCCCCCTAGGCTTGGCCGTAAGCTCATGTGGTCTTCCAAATTGCATGATTAAGGCCTTATTTCACTTCCTTACTTTAATGGTATGTGTCTTGGACCAATATGGAGGGATTAAACTCTTATTTTGTGACATTTTTTTTGGGGGGGTTTACGGCCAAGAATTGTTCTTGGGCCTGTAAACTCCATTAAATCCTTCAAGATGGATGTTTAAATGGTACAACATGTTCTCATTCACCTTAGGTAAATTCTAGAAGGCCTTAAAATGAGTTTTGGGACAATTTATCATGAAAATTGGGGAGTTTACGGCCCAAGAATATCCTTGGCCGTAAACTCTTCATTTGGCCTCAAAATGGGAAGTTTAATGGTACAACACACATCCAAGGGCCTTAGCTGAATTCCTTACATGCATTTGAAAAGTTTTGGGACTTGTTTGACACAAAAATATGGGTGTTTATGGCCCAAGCTTAGCCTTGGCCGTAAACTCCTCTTTTTGCCATCAAATGATGTTGTTTGATGCATTTCAGCCTTCCTTAGTGTCAAGTTTAAATTACCAAACACCCTAGATGAGTTTTTGGGACTTTAAACAAGGGTTTTTGGGGGTGTTTGAGGTGTTTACGGCCTAAGCACAAGCTTGGGCCGTAAACTCCTTTTTAAGCTTCAATTCCTTGTGTTTTAGTGTCCAAACTCTCCTAGGTTTATGCCTTAATTAGTCCATGAGCTTAAAGGAAGGAAAAACAAGGTCTTTGGCATGTTTTTGGGGGTTTACGGCCTAAGGGGCTTCTTAGGCCGTAAACTCCTTTTTTTTGGTCCTTGTTTTTCATGATTTTGGCTTCTAAATACAGTGAAGTATGTTTAGATTAAGATAGGGAATGAGTCCTTACGTTTGGAAGTCGGAAATTCGCGGATTTGGGGCCGATTTCGGGTCTAGAGGGAGAAAGTAGTGGGAGAGAGGTGAAAGTGTGGTAAAAGAGTTCAATTGTAGTGTTCAATCGTTTTTATATGTCTCGGGTATTGCACCCGATACACGGCTACCCGATGCTAAAGTTTAACGGGGTTAAAACTTTTTACCAGGGTGAAATGGTTGAAAAGTAATATAACTCTATTTAGTTAAACGGGGTTGACATTTACAAGTTATAATTACTTATGATAATACCGGAACATATAAATAACTAGATATTTGTTTATTGACGACCCAAACATTACCGAGAAATAACATATAGTGACGCATTCCATTAGTGAAAGTAGGGTTTGTAACGGCAATATATTTGGGGTTGTCACAAACTTTAAAATAGGTAATCCTCTTACCAGATCTTAAATAACAAGTTTGTTTAAATTTAGGAAATTCAGATGTGAAAGCCTTCGATGCCAAAGCCAACTAATGTCTGATGAAACTTTCAAAAGTAAGCACACAGATGGTTTACCAATAATCGGATTGATATCTAGAGTAAATATGTATCCTTTCCTTTTGGATTGAAGCAAAACTTCTTTGGTGTAGACATTCGAAATTATGCTTCCGTCTTCATTGAAAAGTACTTGATTACCAGTGCCCACAACAAGTTGTGAAACACTTATCAAGTTATGTTGTAGACCTTCGACATATGCCGCTCTTTATACAATAAACTTTCCATTCGTTATTTTTCCATAACCTTTGACCTGACATTTGTGATTGTAACCAAACTTAACAACTCCAGCATTCTTTAAACTTCGATAGTCACGTAAATTCTCTTTATTCTCAGTCATGTGACAAGAGCAACGACTATCAATATACCATTTATCATCATATTGCTCGTCACACAAAACCTGCAATTATTGAGAGAATTTAGGTACCCAAGGCTGTTTGGGTCCTTGGACATTAGTGTGACACATAGAATGAAATGAAGAACTTTAATTTTAACACAATCACAAACTTTTGATTTGAAACTATCAATTAAGTCCACATCATTTGATAAAGGAACCGAAACATAAGCTTTCGATGGCGTGCAAATGCATGTCAAGAAAGGTCCTGTCATAACGAGAGACGACGCGCTTTTGCCCGTCGTCTATTTACGACGAGCATTTACGGCACGCATTTACAACGCCCGATTATGACACACAATGCGTATCAAGGAAGGCCCTGTCATAAAGGAAGACGACACACATTTGCGTGTCGTAATCTTACGATGCGCGTGTTTATGACACACAATGCATATTAAGGAAGCCCCTATCATAAAGGAAGACGACACGCATTTTTGCGTGTCATAATTTTAAATGTTTTTAAAATTATATATTTTTGATAGATTTACTAATTTTCAAATTAAATAACACACATTAAAAGTCTAATAATAAAAATTAAAATTCTATAAAAAATAAAAATAATTCATTGCATAAATATGTCAAATACAAATAATCATTCCAATAGTAAGTAAATGTAATACATTGCTAGTATTGCATAATATTTATTATAGAAAAACAAAACATGTACCACCGGTTTCATCCCTTTAAATGCTTGATTCTCCATCAATTCCTCCTAATTATCCTTCCCACTACCCCTGCATTTCAATCAAGACACTTAATCAATCAAAAACTTCAACAATTAATTTTTTTCCTTATTAAATTTAGTTCTTTTACAACTATATGTTTAAATAAACTTTAAAAGTACACAAATTCATATTCATAATCCAATTGCGTCTCTGACTCTCGATTATCAAATTACTGATTAAAAAAGAAATACTAGTGACTCGATTCTCCAAGTTCAAATTCAGAAAGAAATCCAATGCTTATCATTTGGTATAGTTGTGCTAATGAAGATACAAGAAATCAAAAAATAAGAATGGATGAACAAGAAATCGCTTAAACAAATTTAGACTAATTTTCTTTTGAAAAGAAATAAAGTTAATTATTGAAAATTGTTCTCTTTTCATTTATGTTGTAACCTCATATTTTAAAAACTCATAAATAATCACATGATATAACCTTTTAGATATAACCTTTTAGGCATAAATAAATAAGCACCTTTATAAACAAGCTGATGCTGGTAACCAAACCCAGCCTTTGGAGAAATTATAGCAGGTGAGGCCTGCCCGTAAATGTGAAACTATTCATAAAATGAAGAATAAAAATGTGAAACTTACTACAAGCATCATAAGTACAATTCCGGTCAAGGCCATTACAACTCCTGTAAATCAGTTCAAGATTACCAATTAACAATTAATATTAAGTGTTGTTTGTGTAAAAAAAAAGTATATAAATTACATTATGGTTCTTGTGTATAGCTGATTTTTTTCAATTCAAGTCCCAACATGTTTTCTTTTGTATTTTTGGTCCTTATTTTTAGGTTTTTAGTTTATGTTCCAACGAAAATGACTAAAATTTTGGGACCAAAAGTAGTCATTTACTTGGTACAGGGACTGAAAATGCTACAAGAAACCTCAAGTAAGACACAAAATTGCATAAAAAAATGAAACAACTTTAATCAAGGACGAAAAATGTAATTTTGTTTTAATAAAAAACAGTCCGTTACCAAAATATGGAACTGTTAAAGCTACAAGTAGTGTGAACAACACCAATATAGAATCACAGTTGCCAATGTTAGAAATCCAAAAGCTGCTAAAAAAAACCTCTGGAATTAGTCCCTTATATCAGTCAGTGGTAAAAAAAGGAAAATTACTGAAGGATACATAAATTAGAACCCGAAATATAGGAGAGTAACTGAGGTTTCTCAGCTAAACTGTTGGAAGGATAACAAGGGTGGATATAATGGCACATAAGTAATGAGAATCAAGATGTATACCACACAAAAAGACTGCAGTATTAATTAGCACACAATTAAAATTGTTAATTAGAAACAATCATGCAATGGAAATATGAAATTAATATTCACAATTAATATTCACATATGAAATTAATAGTCACCACATGCTTGTTCTAGTGATAATTGGTCAGAATTCATACCAGAGAACCCAAGGGTGGCATTTACCCTTTTTTTTCTTACTTGTTTATACCAAACCTTTAAGTGCTCTACTTAAATGCAAATGTGTTCTTTTTCTTTCTAAAACAGTTTGGTTTACACATTTAAAACAAGAAAACAAAGTAAAAGAGGGAGGAAGGAGTCAAATGTACTCTTATTGTTATGGACGGATTTGGTCTACCCCTTCCTTGTTCTCCTTAAGCCTGGTCTGAATGCCCCTTGAGTCTGGCTTTGTTGCTCACATATTTTTCTATTGATTGTTGCGAAGAATGACATACATGATAGAAGACTGAGATATCTACTCTTCAAGTGAAAATTTTATGGAGTCATGGATATTTAAAAATAAACACTATGAATTTTTCGTATAAATCGTGATATCCTTATTTGTTCTTCTTCTAGATTTGATAATTTACACTCAAAATTGATCACGGTTGCATAGAGATTTGATATAATTTGAAACATCAATGGTCAATGCTCGAAATGAATGATGAGAACCTATAAGTTTGAGGCCAGGGATCAATGGAACTGCTTTGAGATTGAGAAGCGGTGATGAAGCCGAAATTGTTTTGAGCGGAGATTAATTCACTGTCGGATCCGGTTTCATCATCGTCGTTATCCTCGCCATCGGAATGTAAATATACAACCTCCTCCCTGAACCCAAAGCCTGAGCACGCTTTCTTACAAACAAGATAACATAGGATAAAGGCTATATAACACTCTTCAGATCTTGCGAAAGCCTGTATTGAATGATGAATAACACATCATATAAAAGAAGCAGTGTGAATGTTAAAGAACCAAAGATTACTACATTCTATTAATAGATCACATAATGGTAGCAAATTTGGTTTACACTACACTACACATTTCTTTTCTTTGTGTATTAAGCTTGTATTCATATACTACCGCAGTCACACTATATATAGTGGAATACACATGCATGATGCACTCCTCTAGTTTGGATTACTAGTGAAATACCTTTAAACTTTCTGCAAGGGTGGGGTAGTAGTTGCATACATCATATATAAGCTTCTCAAGCAACATGTCATGTCTGGAGCCTTCATAGGAAATCATACCAACCCCTCTAACTCTAAGTAAGATTAAGATATACTCACTATGAAAATTAAGTTAAACAATAGGAAATATGATTGTAGAATTTTAGGTTTGATCAGTATTCTTCCGTTCCATCCTATCATTCTCATACTTCACTCACAAGAACCATTATTCTCTAAATCACCTCTAATACGGTTACTATTAGAGCGACTTATGGTTGCTTTGTGTGGTCAATACTGATTTATGATAGAATATTAGATGAGGTCATAAGCATGAATTTCAAGGCTTCTAATATTACCCAAATATATTGCACAAGTTGACAGATAGGTTGAGTTGAGCAGCAAAGTATCATTCTCATATTCTCCTGTGGTGTTAAAATAACCACCTCTAGTTTTGTTAGGGAACACCTCATCCTATAAACCAGATAAAGAAAAGAAGTTAAAATTTGGTTCACGAAATAGAAATATATAATAACAGAGTTCGCGAGATGGAATACTTGTGTTTCTTGAAGTTGAATTGCCCAGGATAACCATGAAATCTCAAGACCATACTTATACACATCTAAAGACCCTGAAATCAAGATGCATAATCATCCCAGATTCCTGGAGCTTCTGAAGGTCCTTTCCTGAAACTGTGTTGCAACTTTCTAGATTGGGGGTCCTAAAGATTTTCCTTGATGAACACCAATGATCTCTTTGCAACCTCCATGTACTCCTGTGGCTAAATTTACAAAAATAATTAATTTAAAACATGAAAATGAGTAAACTTTTTCATCTTTATTTTAAGATTCAATCTTACATCAATTCCAGCAACATGAAAATTGAATTTTGTTACATCAGGTTCGTTCATGAGGATCTTGGATGCTCTAGCATATGATGAAACTACAAGTCCGTTCCAAGATACAATGACCTGTGGATTTGGTCTGTTAAGCACAAATAACAAGAATACCCTTGGGATAAATATTTTCTTCCTTATCAGTTTTAGGGTTCCTCCGTTGAAAACACAAAGAACAAATGACAAGAATACCCTTGCGATAGAAATGTTCTTCCTTGCGATAAATATTTTATTCCTTTAATCAATCCTACTATATCGAATGAATATAAAGTAATACCTCTTTCCAGATGAACGAATAGAATAAGTAGAGAACCTAGCAAGTTCCCAAGAGAGATCAAACTCTAATGTCGCAAGTACAAAGGTCACAATGGATAGGACTCAGTGAAAAAAGACAATTTTTAACCAATGGTAATGGACTACTATCAACTTGTGGGGTCCGTTTCTCGCCATTTCCTCCTACTTCCACTTTTTCTTTATTATCAGCGTGCAATAAACTCACCCCTAGTATAGGTGATCTTGGCTGGTCTTCAACAACTATATCAGCTTCCTGTGTGGTAGGAGATGATATTTTACTTGATTCCACATTAGCAATTGATTATGCAAAATGAAACAAGAATTAGTTATGATATTTTACTTGATTCCTAGCATTATTTGTACCTGAAGGTATAAAGAAAGAAGAGAGACAAACATCGGGAATTACATGGAACCGTAAACGTTGATTTGTTGAAGGAGAATTAGAAACCAGGAATAGGTCTGAATCATAAGAACAAAAACACAAAAATTATAAGTAAAAGTAAACCCTAGATATTGGATGAGAACAAGACCTGCAAGAGAGCTTTAGTGAGTAAAGGGTTTTGAATCAAGATTTGTCTCGCTTGATCTTGGTTCTGTTCAAATACGAATCCAATTTAGTCTAAACTCCTCGCATTCATTTAACACCAGCAACGACATACATCGAACTTGTTGTAAATTTTGGGAAAAAACAGAGGAAACATCAATTTGAAAAGAAAGAAAAAGATAAGAAAATGTGGGGTTTGTGTTTTTACCTTCATCTGGGACATGATATCATAGAGTTGATTCTTTGACATTCTGGGGATATTCACCGATAGACCATCACCAGCGACCTGATTTCCGGTGAACTTATGTCAATGTTTGTATCTTGTAGTAGAGATGCAATATCTTCAAGCAGGATGTACGACAGGCCGATACGGCGGGGATACTTTACTCATCCGGTACAACCGGAAAAATCAAGGGTGTTGATCTAACCCACAGGAGTTCCATCGCCGTAACATCCACCGCACACAATAACATATTCAAGAAAAACGAGATTACCCATCATGAACACCCCGTCTCATTGTTTCCCTTGCCTCTATTTTATGTTTCAGATTCTTTATATAAAGACCGCCTAAGAAGTGATCGATGCCAAACACTACTAGAAAAAAGGCCTTTTACGACGCTCATTGCGCGTCGTAAAACGCTCAGACAACGCGCAAATGCGTGTCAAGGAAGGCCCTGTCATAACGAGAGACGATACGCTTTTGCGCGTCGTCTTTAGACGACGCGCATTTATGACACGCAATGCGTATCATTAAAGCTGCTATCAAGAAAGGCCATGTCATAAATGAAGATGACACACATTTTTGCGTATCGTAATTAAAAAAAAAATAAAAAAAATTATTTACAGGTTTACTAATTTTCAAATTAAATTTTCATTTTCATATCTTATAGTAGAAAATAAAATACCATAAATAAAAAATACAATCCATTACACAAAAGTTAATATCATACAAATAATAATTCTCAAGCTTTAAAGCATCAAATGATGAGAAATTGCAGAAATCACAATTTCTTGAATGTAATTACTGATAAACATTGTGTCTACTTGACAAATTAAACCTATATCATCACATTTGCTCCAACCAGGCTTGTTTCATGCTCTGCATCACATCTTTATACACCTAAAGGATGAAAGCAAAAAGATTAGAATTAGCCATAACAATATAACACCATTTATATGCATAAATTCAAAAATATCGTTACAGATTTTCGTCTACTTAACCAATATGATAAATAAGTTTAAAACAAAACAATGAAAATAAATTACCATTTATTTAAGTAACTTGTACTCTAACAGGAGAATGCAACAGTGGATAGAGCTAATACATAAGTAACTTGTACTCTAACATTTGACACTATAGAAGACTCAAAAAACATGAAGGGAAAAAAGGTAATCGACACATATTGTTACCTGTTTCTGAGGTTTTGCCATTGTATCTGAGGTAAACAAATTTCCCTTTATTTAATTACAGTAATAAACTAAAACTGTACAATATCACAATAAAAAAAATAACATGATAATTAATTATAATAATTGGAAAAAAAAAGTGAAAATTATAAAACAATCTAGATATTCGTTATAGTAAATTAACAAAAATATAAATTAAAAAGAGAGATGTGTCTCTGTTATGGGGGAAACTGGAAAAGAAAAAGTGAATTGTTTTATGGAATCATCACTTTCCTAACTTAACCCACTAGGACATTTTGTTAACATCAAGTAAAAAAGAAACTGTTAAACCATTAAATTTTTTATAAACATCATATATCCAAACAATAGTTGCTCATGAGAAAAGCTCCTTCACAAAAGCACATGTGAAAAGCTGTAGAGTTGGAATGTTTTGAGGATTTATCAACATCTGATATGGAGATGCTCATGCTCCCATTAAGACCATTACTTTTAGAGTTGGAATGTTTTGGGACAGGAGTCTCCTTCACAAAAAGCATTTATTTCTTCCAAGAGAACTCATAGATTACCTGTGGAAACGCATAAATTGCACGCAAGATTCTTGCATAATCAGTTCCAAGCATTTGAATAACAATGTCTGCTAGTAATGTTCCCCATAGCCTGCATAAATAAATATAAATACATAAATAAATAAAGTATTATTAGTGGAAGGTAAAAAAGAAATAATACATAGGACCAAGTAACACCATTATGCTCCTAATTAACACCAAGATTTCGCGATGCATCACCTGCTAACCCCTGTTCACAAAATCACCAATCCATAAACAATATTTTCGTTAAAAAAAATCACAACTTAATATTATATTATATTTATATTTAATATCCAAAAAATATGCAAATAACAACAAAATAAAGAGATTGTGATAATATAAATATATTATATTTATATCCAAATCCAATCACCTGTTCTGCTGCAAGTAAAGCTGCTCTTGACTCCAAGTTTATAGCTGCCATTCGTCCACCCTGATAACAATCAAAACATTAACATATCAGATATATATATATATATATATATATATATATATATATATATATATATATATACACACACACACACCCCTCTTTGAGAACTTCCTTCTTTATTTGATAATTACCAGCTTCCTTCAAAGTATAATGTCTTTAAGATTTTTTTTTTTTTGAAATCGTAATGATAGAATGAAAGAATAAAATAAAATAAAAAAAAGCCAAACAGAAGTACGTTACTAATTCTTGGATTTGGATGTGAATATATAGGTTATTCAATATCTACATTCTAGGATAAATTATGCTATAGATCTTTTATCACTTATACATCAGCTATTAATAAAAGCATATGCAAATTACAAGATTACCAAGTGGGAACAAACTACAACATGATTTATATAAATATAATATTAATCACAAATCATTTGTTATAATACAAATGACATGGAAACTAAGAGTGAAAAGACCACTTACCACAATGACATAAATTCGCCCTTTGCAAGCATGAAATTGGCTTCCTAACAACACCTTTAATTTGTACATCGTGTAGTTGGAATTTTGTTCCTTTTTGCAATTTTTGTACATCATAGGAGATTAGATAGATTTGATCATTTCATTTGTTGTTCATCATCTTATCAAGAACTGTATTAAGATCCACACAGATTCATTTTCTGTGAGGTTTCTCACAGATGCTCTTACAAGGTCCCTCCTGAAACCCATTGATGTGACCTTATCCACTATATCATCTACTGAAACTGTATTACCATTTCCTTCTATAATTAACCTGTCTTCTACATCAACACCAGTTGGTAATGCATGAGGCAGTGGTTGGGTTTCAAAAAGAAACCATTATATAATGTAAAATAACTAGAGTTACAGAAAGAAATCATGTAAATGCTTAGTTTTTCAATTTCTTTATGGTTTTTCATTTTTACAAACACTTGGTATATACTATGCAGTTGTACATTTCCCATCAAAATAAAATCAAAAATTCATTCTCTACATACGTATCTAGAACCAAAAATCTTTTTGACTGCTATAAATAAACACTCTATACTTGTATTATATCTATATATGCTCTCGCCCATACTCCCACACAATCGCAGGCATGCTCTGGATTGGATCTCTCATAGATCTCACACTATCTCAAAATTTATGAGAATGCAGAGAGCCCCAAATTAAAATAAGAAAATGATAAAGTAAGAGAAATAAACCTAGGGCACATATATGGAGAAGAAGAGAATGATATTCAAACCTGGTGCCTCTTTCATTTTCGTTTCTTAATTTCCGATGCTTCCAATCTGACCATGAACCTCCGACTTCTAATCCCATATCTGACCTTGTGAGGTCCAGAACATAAAATTCCTGTTTTTGAGAATCTCCACTACCGATAAAGTTCCTTCATCGTTCCTAAAAATCAGGTCGAATCCATGAAGTCAAAAAAGATCACATATGATAAAAACCCTAAAGAAGAATTGACAGTAGAGCAGATGAAGGGCAAATAAATTGGAAACCGAAGGAAACAATAACACAGTAAAACCTTACCAAGAATCAACGGTGGAGTTAATCCATAACAATCAACCACTTCTGTAATTTCGGTGGACCGACTTCCAAAATTAGGGATAAAAGCAACATCCATCGAGGGCAACACAGATGGAACAAAATCCGACAGAGAGGACAAAGGGGGTGTGGAAGAAGAAGAGCAATTGAACAGCAAATGACAAACATTTGAGACCCAGCCCATTCACAATCGGCATGAGAGACTCAACTGATGCGCACACAGTAACTTCATCCGACTCCAGCAAATCAGTGACCAAAAACGATAGGGAGGAGGAGGACGAAGGGACAAGGGAAATCAATCAAAGTAGGGACCAATACCCTAGGGCTTCTTTCTTTCTTATTGGAAGAGGCGGAGGGGGGGGGGTGTTAAACTTTCAGATAGAATAGGCGGTTGTTTAATTTTTGAGGATTTCATTTTCCCGCTTAAAACGCGTGTTTCATTAAAGAAATATAAAGTGACACACTTAGATGACACACAGTTTATGATAGGCGCCCTCCGTATTTCCTTTTTTTTCTTCTCTGACACTAATTGTAGGGGGCACGCACAAATGCGTGACCTCTATCCTTCAGATTTTGTAAAACTGACATTGTTTTTTAGGGCACGTACAAATGCGTGTCTTCTATCAGCGCGTGTCATTGTTTGCGCGTCGTAAAAGGCCTTTTTTCTAGTAGTGAAAAAAAAGGGGGAAACGAAAATCGCTAAAATCACATGAGAGAGTCCATGAATTGTAGCGAGATTTTTTATAATTCTTTTGGGATTTCATTCTGTAATTTTTGGGAGTGCAATTCGATCATTGATGGCAGAACAATTTTTACAGAGAATGAAGATCTAGAGGAGAGGGTGAGGATGCATATCGCGAGTGGTTTAAAATAGTGATGGGGGTTTTGTTATCGATGTAGTGCGACATGAAAGAATGGTTGGAAAAGATGGTCGGAGACACTTGGCGGTGCGAGATCGTAGGTTGGGTGGTGGTGCGATGCTGCTCTGAAGACGAAGGCCTAGGGCTTTTTCTTGCTGATTGGAAGGGGGGGGGGGGGTGGTTCATTTTTGGGATTCAATAGGAAGGTGAAATCCCGCCTTAAAAACGTGTGTTTCATTCAAATGTTATAAAGTGACACATTTAGACGTCGCACATTTTGTGAAAGGCGCCCTCTGCATTTCCATTTTTTTTCTTTTCTAACACTAATTTTAGGGCACACACAAATGAGTGTCGTCTATCCTTCAAATTTTGCAAAATTGACATTATTTTTTACGGCACGCACAAATGCACATCCTCTATCAGCGAGTGTCATTTTTTGCACGTCATTAAAGGGCTGTTTTCTAGTAGTGACTTTTAATCAAAAAATTCAAATTTCAAAACTTCAGGGCAAGATTTGAATATTTCAAAACACAAGGGATCAAATAACAAATAATTTAAATTAAACAACTAATTTCATAATTATCTATATTTGACTTAATCTTATTTTAGTCATGAGATAATTACCAAATAACTTTAAATAATCCATATTTATCATATAAACAACTAATATTCAAAGGATTTGAAGTTATCTATTGTTTTGGTAGGGATAACCATAAAAATATAATAAAATTCGGATTTTATCTTTAAAAAACGATTTAGGCATTAATCCCATGACAAATCAGCAACTAAATCCCGAAATATCCTCTGTCTGACGCACAAACTCGCCGAGTCAGCTCTGGACTCACCGAGTAGGGCCAACTTGCCGAGTCGAGATACTGTAACGCCCGTAGATCCGGGCTAGTCAATTTAGAGATAATAGGGGTCGAAAATGACTTTTCGACAAATTATTATTTAGAACAAATAATTTGAACCAAGTTGTAGTATATGTCACAAGGTGTCCATACATATAAAGAACGCCGAAATCCGAGTTATAACAAAGAAGTTATGACTCGTCGAAGTTTCGCGACGGAACCGACACGACACCGGGGAGCGTAAAAAGTGAATTTATGATAGAGCGAGATTTAGCCTTAGTGATCTAAACAAAAGTCGTAGAATATGTTAAACCGAGAAAATCCATAAAAAGAATGCCCAAATCTGACTTCGTATGAAGAAGTTTTGATTTTTCTAAGATTCGGCTTAACAGTGTACAGCCCGAAACTTGAATTTTAGTTCGAGCGGTTTTTGGCTTATGCGACCTAAATGAGAGTTGAAGATCTCATTAATAGGAACTCAACGGTAAAAAGAAAGACGGAAACAGAGTCTGTATGAAGGAGTTACGAATTCTTCGCGGTCATTTAACAGTTTAAACGCCTCGTATTGTTAAATTTAAGATCGGTCGAGAATTAGCCGACGGAGTCAAAATGAAAGTTGTAGATATTATTTTTACCTATGCGCGGATATAAAGAACGTCAAAAACGGAGGTCGTATGTGAAAGTTACGGATTTTAGAAGTCGGAAGTGTGCTTGCGAAAATAGGTGATGTGGCACAATCTTGGCCATTGCTTTCTCCCCAAGTCTTGCCACTAGATGGTGACATGTGGCACCAAGTTCAGCCATTTTCACCCTATAAATACCACCTATCTCACCCTCATTTTCTTCACACATTTCCCATTCTTTCTTCTCTTTACTCTCTCTCTAGAACCTCTCTCTAGCCCCGAAATCCCCCGAAAAGCCTAGGGAACCTCCCTAGCTTGAGGCGGAAGCCCCGGAGTGCTCGACGGCTCCAAGAAAAAGAGCTTTTCGGCTCGGAAATGCTGCTCCAAGCAAAGCCTGGTTTTCTATAAAACCCGCTGTAAGTGAGCTACGCCTACGCTATTTTTAATATAGTTTTTATTTAATTATATTAATGTTATTAAGAACATATAATAAATACCTGGGCTATTATTATGGGTTATATAAGTATTTTTTAACGCTTATATAATAGTAATAATAGCTAGACTATTAATTAGTCTCGGCGAATAATAGACTAAAATCTATTGGTGATAATACTAGGTTTCGTCGAAGGAAATTATTTTAAAGTAAACGAAGCGCTGTCCGAGTACCGAGTCACCACCTTCTCAGGTGAGTGCATGGTCCCTTTCATGTTACACATAGATATGAAGTATTTATTATATAATTTACGTGTTGTGAGAGCATAGTCCCTTTCATCTTACACATAGATATGGAGTATTTTAATATAAATTATGTGCTATGTGTACATATTGTCTGAATACTTGCTGTCTATGCTGAGTGAAAGATTTTTATACATGTTTTAAATGATTTAAACTGTATACGTATTTTATATCTACAAAACATGTTGGGAAAAACATGGGTAGATGAAATAGTTGTTTTGTGATAACACGATGGGAGACATCAGTGTTGTCAGTGATCCAGTCATCTAGTGGAGTATAGATGACGACTATGGACGATACTAGACGGTCCAGTGGAACGATAGCAGTTTCGTAACATGTAGGTATTTTTGAACTAGGTGCTCATTAGGTATTTTTGAACTGAGTGTGTTCACTACGTATCTTTGAACTGGGTGTGTTCACTAGGTATTTTGAACTAAGTGTGTTCACTAGTTACTTTTGAACTAAGTGTTTACCAGATGTTTCGGACTACGTGTTCACCAGATATATTCTATAAGCCTTGGTAATGATAGACTTCGTGTCGATTCCTTAGGATGATCCTTAGGACTATATAAACGAGGAATAACTGATTCTTAGGGTAGATCCTTAAGACTAAAGAAGATAATGGGGATGGGTAATTGGGTTGATTGTTTGATTGTTTAAACATAATAATTATATTATTGTGGGTTGAAAACCCTATGTACTCACCAGGTTTCCCAACCTGACCCACTCAGTTTATTTATATCACAGGTGTTGATACGAAGTCACTTTACACTGAGAGATTTAAAGAGATGTAGATCACTAGGGTAAATAAATGTAAGTTCTGTTTATGCTTATGTTCATGTATTAACGATGACATCCCAAACGTTTTAAAATGAATAAAGTACGTTTCTTCGGAAATGTTTTAATAATGTATTTATCATGTTTTTCTGGGAACAAATTCCGCAACATTTTTATTAAAAGAAGAACTCTGATTTTTATAAAGCATAAACAAAAATCGGTATTTTCTGGCCGTGAAAATGGGGATGTCACAGTTGGTATCAGAGCATTAGTTTAAGCGAACTAGGAATATGGATTTATTTCTAGACTTAAACTTAGAATGCTAAGCGACGATTGTGAGGTGTGAGCACTAGCTTAATTTAGGAATGATGCCTAAATTACTTTTATGTGCTAAATGATTTGTTATGCTATAGTTTGATCGGATCTATGGTTTGTTGCCGACCGGATCTGGAAACCTTATGTGTTTAGGATTCTAAACGTACGAATACGATATTAGAACTAGCATATAAATGTTTCGGAGCGATAAGGATGATTTAAACGTCAATCCTATGTAAGGGTCTAGATTCACCTTATTCGGTGTATAGATCAAGATGGCAAGGACCCGTAGCGGAAACGTGAATGCAAATGAGAATAGGAACCAACCCCTAGTGGTTTAGCAAATACCTATTGTAGAAGAAGTTGCACCTGAGCCAGTCACCATGGCTGGAGTTCAAGCCATGATTCGGGTTATGCTAGCTGAACAACGGGAAGAAATGAGGCGGATGTTGAATAGGGAGGAACCTACTATGCCCACTGAGCAACCCGAGCTGATTCCCGAGCAATCGAAGGAAGGGAACTACAGCCGCCAAGTGAGTCAAGTGGGGACTCAAGGTGATCAAATGGATGGCCCGGAGAGGAGAAACGACAAGGATGGGCGAATATACAAGAATTTATTGGGTGCGAAACCACCAAGTCTCTCAGGAAGCCCAAAGCCTGTTGAGATTATGGATTGGATCTCCGAGATGGAGATGGTGCTTGAGAGCCGTGACTGTAGCGAGAAACAGAAGACCGTCTTTGCTGTAAGACAACTGAAAACTGGAGTTTTGAGCTGGTGGAAGCTATTGGCAGATACGATGCCACGAGGAGAACCCTTAAGGATGTCATGGGAAGAGTTCTTGGAACAGTTGAAAATGCAGTACTGCTCATAGATAGATCTGATAGACCTAAACAATGAGTTTCAGAACCTGAAGAAAGGGAAGATGAGTGTTGATGAGTATGCCACCGCATTCACCGAGAGGATGAAGCTATTCCCATACTTGGTGCCTACTGAACACTCCAAGATTGATAGGTTGGCTAACG